AGTTTTGCTTTATATTTATTAATTTGTCTTTTCTATGCTTATATTTTGCTAGAGGAAACCTTTCGTCCGAAGTATTTTACTTTATGGGCTCAGTGATCTGTGTGTGTGTGTAATTGTGTGTATGTGCACACATTAGCACATGCATTAGCCTTCATCTCCTGTCAAGTTTAATAATGAATGTAAATTAGGAACTAAGTAAAAATCCCACTGAATTACAAATGAGTAACATTATTATGAAATTTATACAGATGTTATCATAAGTAAGAAAAAATAACTAAAAGAAAACAAAAGTCAGTTATAGAAAAATACATAAATACGTGTATGTGTAAAAACACATATATGTACATGTAATACATATATTACACATCTAACATATGTGATGTATATATACATATCTATGGGGCAGAGAGAGAGAGAGAGAGAGAGAGAGAGAGAATTTGTCATCATTTAAAGGAAACATCTAGATCCATTTCATTTAGAGGTTTGATCCTTTCTCAGAAAACAGTTGTCTGAGGATGTGTTCAAACAAAAGGGAAGAGAGCAGTGCAGTAATTCCTTCCTGCATCAAATCAAGTGTCTGCTCCCTTAAAAGAATTTTGGTGTTTCTTCTATGATCCGATGTTTTCTTCTCTTTGGTCCATGAAAAGGCAGGATCCATAGAAATTCTCCATAACTCCCTTTCAGGGTTTCTTTAATTGTCATGTCACCAGTGCCTACAGTGAGAAAAAATAAGGAAGACAAATTGTTTATCCACAAGCAAGTCTCACAGAGCTGTTTCAAGACTTCTTAGATATAGACGATTGCCCCACTTGACAGTGTCCACATTTGAGAAGAGCCTGTCATCCTATGAATCCTACCACGCCTTCAATTCACTAGAGGGATACCAGAGAAGTACTTTTCTTGCAGAAGACTTGGCAGATAAAATCTGAAAACAGTTTTGCAAAATATTAGGCCAACTGATTGAATAAAAACGACGAAGGATCGTCTTTTTAAGAAACTGATTTCTGCTCGGGAAGCAGTTAGAGGAAGTGTTGAGAGAAGGTCTAATCACTGTTAGAAAAGAGCATCGAAAGAGTCACCCAGGGCAAGAGTTAATTTGCTACTGTCATTCTGACTGTCATGGTGGTGGTGGTGCCCGCATCATTGTCATGTGGGAGACACAGTGTTTTAAGACAAATACAATAATGTGGCAACAAAGATCCCAGGGAGTACGCCTCTCATCAATGAAGTTGTCCACACAGTTCAGGACCATAGCTTAAGCTGTTTGAAAAGCTTGGTACTCACATGGGAGAAAAACATTCATTATGAGGAAACTCTTCCATTGTGAAAGAGAGAAAGAAAGAAATAGCAAACCCTGCTAATTTATGCCAGAAAGGGCAGGCCTGAGGCAGAGGAATGACAAAGCATTGGTCTTCAAAGTGTTTATTGTCCTAGAGTTGCCAAGCACTTTGAAGACAATCATCAAACCCTTCTAAATGGAACCAGGGAGGCTTCTCACCATTGATCTCAATAACAAATGTTTGTGTTTCATGGTCAATTTTTTTTTTAATCCTTCAAAGACTCTAAGTAAAATTGTCATTAAGTAGGCTATTTTAAAAGATAAAACTAATTTTCCATCTGAGTAATCATATCCCAAACACGATCAAATTGCCAACTAGATGAAATGGCTTGAAATGGTATCGCAATAATACACTTAGTAGCTATTTTTATGCCAAATTATTATGGGGGTTCACAATCCTGAAATCAACTAACCCTTATGAATTCAACTAACTAAATCACCAGTCTCCATAAGATCATGGACAGGCCCATGTTGCCAGGAAGTTACTACTAATGGCCTCAGATTAAAAACATGGAGCAAGCAAATACAGCCTCTTCCTTTTGGACTTGGGATAAGATTTGAATTACATTGGAGATTCTAGCTAATTTGGTTGATTTAATCATTCATTTAGCTGCTTTACAAAAGCAGTCTGGGCAGAGGACTCAAAAGAGTTTTCTCCAAGTTAAATGTTGCCCAGTAGGTAGGATGGCCCTGTGACTCCTCGAAAGCAAATGCTCGATGGCCCCATCAATGTCCCAGCAAGCCAAGTGTCAACAGGGTACAGAGAATCAGGATAAGCATGGCTTCCTTCTCCCAAGAGAGCTTGTTCTCATGCCTGTATCTGGGGCCCCTCCAGATCACTCCTGCAACCAGGTATCATAGGGTGAAGGTGAGCAGCTTTTATCTTTGGGCCTTAACCACTTCACAAGACAGGAAATGTAATGTGAACCCATTTTATAAGGAACAAGTACCCAATTATGCTTCTGATTCGATCCATCCATCATTTGGAAAACTGACGTTCAAAGCAGTCATCCCAGAACTGGGAGAACATGGATTAGGCCCTGGAAGTACATTCTATGGAAATCCCTTTAAAAAACACCTTTCAGATGATCGAAAAATGGTGGGTGGTGGGTGGGGAAAGGAGATGAAACCCAGGGCTGGTAAGGATGAGGTCAACTGTGACTTAGCCTCATCAGGAAGTGATCTGATCAGTACATGTGCTGACCCCTAGGAATCAGATTGCTTGAGGGTTTTTTTGTGTTTTCCTGAAGGAGGAGTATGTGCCCAGGGGAAAGTAAGGTGGGGTAAGCTGCACCCTCCACCTGTCAGACTTCCAGGACTTGGGTCTAGACCAGTGGAGAGAAGAGGCTGCAGGCAGAAAAGGAAGAATCAATGACTCCATGTAAAGGGGCTATTCCTTTGGTACCCAAGAAACAAACTGCGATACTCTATGGAAAAGAGGACCGTATTCCCAAATTATGCATTGAAAATAGCACTATGGGTGATGCATAGAAAATAGTCCAACAGCTTTGGGAGCCGTGAGAGATAGGACCTTCACCAGATTTTGGCATTGTCAAGGTGGCCTCTGGAAGCAGTGGCATTATGATGGATCCCCACTGGAGGTATGGAAGAACCTGAGAGAGACCTTGTAGGAACTGAAGCTGACTGGGTGGTTTATGGGCACATGTGAAACACCTGAAGTTTCCTAGGCAGAACTGGATAAAATTTAGGGATGGGCTATGGACTTGACTCAGTTCCATCTTTGAAAAGGTGGGGCAAGAGCTGATGAAATTCAGCCTGTTTTATTCAATGCTACCATCTCTGCTTCTACAGATTTGTAAGGGTGGAGGCAACTGGGTTTACACTGGCATTATATATGGTGACACAGAAAAGTGTGGTAGGTCCTCAGGAAATATTTTTGAACACAAATTCAAACAAGTCACAAACGTATTGGTCTTATTAATGAAAGTCTTTAAAAGCAACTCCTTATAAGAACTCTAGGAGGTGGGACTTCCTTTTCAAAGATGGACCATAGCCACCATTTGGCAGGTGAGAAAACTGTGGCACAAAATAGTTAAATAACCCATTCAAGGTGAAACACCTAGCGTGTGACAAGAAGTTGGGTTTCAACCCCAGGAAGCCTCGAACCCACCATTGCACCCTCAGCCATATGCTTTATTGCCTTTCCTCCAAGAGCGTGACTGCTCTTACCCTATGATTCTGCTGACTACACACAACTGCCTTATTCTACTTCTGCCTGTGGATTGTGTATTTAGAGCTGATACAACCAACTACTTCTTCAGTTGGTAACCTGCGGAGCAGAGACATTTTAGTGAGGAGAAATAAAATGCTGGAGTATGAGTCAGGAAATCCAAGCTTTAGACAGCCTCTGTCATGAAATAACTCTGTCTTGTTCAGTCCCATTCACATCTTTGGGTTTCAAATTGTCCCTGTCTATAAAAAGAACTGAGTTAGAATCTCCCCAAGTGCATTTCAGCCTCAAGATTCTAACATCCAAACTGTCCAGATCTGGGTTAGACACAGATCTTTTGGCCAAAGGCCCTGCTTCCCCCTTTGTAACAGATATTACCCCCAAGGACATACCTAATTATGAGATATACTTTTAAATTGATTGTCATTCTGTTTTTGATGTCCCATTCAGTGCTTTTGTTGTAACAGGAACAACAGTGAAACATTTGGCTTAATTGCTTCTTGTGGAAAAAATAATTGTCAAAAACACTCAACCAAATTGGCTAGAAGACTTGCTTCAGAATTACTCATGTTGCTTTGAAAGAAGGGGTCAAAGCAAAGAGATGAAGTTTGGCTACATGGCAGATGTATTTATGTACAACTTAATGTTCTTTTTAGCCTATCTGGCTGTTTCTTGAATGCATTTATATATTTCTGGACTGTGTTTCACTCTGCACATCACTGGATTTCTACCTCTTTTCTCTTTCACTATAAAGAGAGTGTAAGTTTTTGCTTCTGTGTTTTTATTTTCAATCATTCTTTATTTCTTTCTAGTATTCTTCTGTCTTTTTCTGAAAGCCAGGGTAAGATCATTAAGAGTAAAACATTTAGGCAGAGAAAGTTTCAAATGGGGCTTCATGCCCAAGGCCAGAAATTCTCCAACTTTAACATACACAATCACCTGGAAACCTTCTTAAAAATACATATTTCCATGTTCCACTCACTGAGATTTTTGAGACTGTGGGTCTGGAATAGGACCAGGAATCTATTTTATAAAAGTTCTGGAGCAGTAGCTTGCTGCTTTCCACTTTTTAAATTATTCAACAAGTCAATAAAGGGGAAGGGCTCAGTGAGGATGAAGTTTTATTGGTTTGGTTTTGGTTTTGGTGTTTTTCCAAGTGAATGGAGGTAGCCAAATTAGAAAAGTTGCGACCTGCCATACTGTATTGGTAACCCTGATTTCCTCTCTGGGAGCAAGTAGTAGGTGGTGTGGCTAAAAATTATACCTGCCCAGTCTGGGTTTTTTTCTCTGTTCCAACAGTCTTTTCCAGAAATCTGGGTAGGAAATATGAGCCCATGGTGTAAAGACTGAGGAAGTAGACACTTTCTTCAATGGATTATTAGTAGTTGTTATCTAATTAGAGATGGATAAGGTTTTAAACTCTATATATAGTGATATATTCCTACCTCCTTGTTTTCCCTTTAGATTTAATATGAAGGCAATTTTTATAATCATATAAATTCATATCTGAAAAAAATCAACCTGGTTGCACACTGCATTCACCTTGCTGGAAATTGTGTACGCATGGAGAAATAGAAGATCAGTGGATCATGAAGTGAACACTAAAGGTATTTGGTCCAGGCTGTCCTTGGACTTGGTGATGTGACCAGATGTTCGCATTCTAGATTTATTCTTCTGTATGTGGGAGCTGATGATACCTATTCTGCTTATGTTCCTGAGGTGCTATAAGACTGAGCTTATGTCAAAGTGCTCTTTCCATTTTCTTTGGTCAATAAATACAATCTCCCAAGGCATCCATTTTTTTTCTTTACATCTTTATTGGAGTATAATTGCTTTACAATGGTGTGTTAGTTTCTGCTTTATAACAAAGTGAATCAGTTATACATATACATATGTCCCCATATCTCTTCCCTCTTGCATCTCCCTTCCTCCCACCCTCCCTATCCCACCCCTCCAGGCAGTCACAAAGCACCGAGCTGATCTCCCTGTGCTATGCGGCTGCTTCCCACTAGCAATCTACCTTACGTTTGGTAGTGTATATATGTCCATGCCTCTCTCTTGCTTTGTCACAGCTTACCCTTCCCCCTCCCAATATCCTGAAGTCCATTCTCTAGTAGGTCTGTGTCTTTATTCCTGTCTTACCCCTAGGTTTTTCACGACATTTTTTTCCTTAAATTCCATATATATGTGTTAGCATACGGTATTTGTCTTTCTCTTTCTGACTTACTTCACTCTGTATGACAGACTCTAGGTCTATCCACCTCATTACAAATAGCTCCATTTCGTTTCTTTTTATGGCTGAGTAATATTCCATTGTATATATGTGCCACATCTTCTTTATCCATTCATCCGATGATGCACACTTAGGTTGTTTCCATCTCCGGGCTACTGTAAATAGAGCTGCAATGAACATTTTGGTACATGACTCTTTTTGAATTATGGTTTTCTCAGGGTATATGCCCAGTAGTGGGATTGCTGGGTCATATGGTAGTTCTATTTGTAGTTTTTTAAGGAACCTCCATACTGTTCTCCACAGTGGCTGTATCAATTTACATTCCCACCAGCAGTGCAAGACTGTTCCCTTTTCTCCACACCCTCTCCAGCATTTATTGTTTGTAGATTTTTTGATGATGGCCATTCTGACTGGTGTGAGATGAAATCTCATTGTAGTTTTGGTTTGCATTTCTCTAATGATTAATGATGTTGAGCATTCTTTCATGTGTTTGTTGGAAGACTGTATATCTTCTTTGGAGAAATGTCTATTTCGGTCTTCTGCCCATTTTTGGATTGGGTTGTTTGTTTTTTGTTATTGAGCTGCATGAGCTGCTTATAAATTTTAGAGATTAATCCTCTGTCAGTTGCTTCATTTGCAAATATTTTCTCCCATTCTGAGGGTTGTTTTTTGGTCTTGTTTATGGTTTCCTTTGCTGTGCAAAAGGTTTTAAGTTTCATTAGGTCCCATTTGTTTATTTTTGTTTTTATTTCCATTTCCCTAGGAGGTGGGTCAAAAAGGATCTTGCTGTGATTTATGTCATAGAGTGTTCTGCCTGTTTTCCTCTAAGAGATTGATAGTTTCTGGCCTTACATTTAGGTCTTTAATCCATTCTGAGCTTATTTTTATGTATGGTGTTAGGGAGTGATCTAATCTCATACTTTTACATGTACCTGTCCAGTTTTCCCAGCATCACTTATTGAAGAGGCTGTCCTTTCTTCACTGTACATTCCTGCCTCCTTTATCAAAGATAAGGTGACCATATGTGCGTGGGTTTATCTCTGGGCTTTCTATCCTGTTCCATTGATTTATCTTTCTGTTTTTGTGCCACTACCATACTGTCTTGATTACTGTAGCTTTGTACTATAGGCCGAAGTCAGGGAGCCTGATTCCTCCAGCTCTGTTTTTCATTCTCAAGATTGCTTTAGCTATTCGGGGCCTTTTGTGTTTCCATACAAATTATGAAATTTTTTGTTCTAGTTCTGTAAAAAGTGCCAGTGGTAGTTTGATAGGGATTGCATTGAATCTGTAGATTGCTTTGGGTAGTAGAGTCATTTTCACAATGTTGATTCTTCCAATCCAAGAACATGGTATATCTCTCCATCTATTTGTATCATCTTTAATTTCTTTCATCAGTGTCTTATAATTTTCTGCATACAGGTCTTTTGTCTCCTTAGGTAGGTTTATTCCTAGATATTTTATTCTTTTTGTTGCAATGGTAAATGGGAGTGTTTTCTTGATTTCACTTTCAGATTTTTCATCATTAGTGTATAGGAATGCCAGAGATTTCTGTGCATTAATTTTGTATCCTGCTACTTTACCAAATTCATTGATTAGCTCTAGTAGTTTTCTGGTAGCATCTTTAGGATTCTCTATGTATAGTATCATGTCATCTGCAAACAGTGACAGCTTTACTTCTTTTCTGATTTGGATTCCTTTTATTTCCTTTTCTTCTCTGATTGCTGTGGCTAAAACTTCCAAAACTATGTTGAATAAGAGTGGTGAGAGTGGGCAACCTTGTCTTGTTCCTGATCTTAGTGGAAATGCTTTCAGTTTTTCATCATTGAGGACGATGTTGGCTGTGGGTTTGTCATATATGGCCTTTATTATGTTGAGGAAAGTTCCCTCTATGCCTACTTTCTGCAGGGTTTTTATCATAAATGGGTGTTGAATTTTGTTGAAAGCTTTCTCTGCATCTATTGAGATGATCATATGGTTTTTCTCCTTCAATTTGTTAATATGGTGTATCACATTGATTGATTTGTGTATATTGAAGAATCCTTGCATTACTGGGATAAACCCCACTTGATCATGGTGTATGATCCTTTTAATATGTTGCTGGATTCTGTTTGCCAGTACTTTGTTGAGGATTTTTGCATCTATGTTCATCAGTGATATTGGCCTGTAGTTTTCTTTTTTTTAACATCTTTTCTGGTTTTGGTATCAGAGTGATGGTGGCCTCGTAGAATGAGTTTGGGAGTGTTCCTCCCTCTGCTATGTTTTGGAATAGCTCTTCTCTAAATGTTTGATATAATTCACCTGAGTCACCATATTGTTAATTGAAAAACATAAGTTACAATGAAGTACACACACATTTATGTAATAGTCTATAAAAATTTTAATTTTTAAAAATCCCATACGAATTTTACTATGAAAACTGACGTCACAACATTCTTTTACTCATATGACTTTTGGAATTTCATGGTTTTATTAGCAAAATAAATCATGTGAAAAAATGAGCGTGAAATTTAAAATGCAACAGCATGCTGTTATATAGGCAGAATAGAGCATTTGGTTCTCAAAGCATTGCTCCTTCCTGATTATATCAGCAAGGTTTTGGACGTTTCTGAAGATGCTTCTCTGGCTGCTTAGAAAATTATCTTTAATTCTGGTATTTTGCTTTCTGAAAAAAAAAATGTGTTTTTATTGAAGATGTGTTACTATTAAGAGTAGAATAAGGAATTTGTGTATTTTGATGATTTTTAAGTCTTCGAATCTTGAAGGGAAAGAATCTAACAAGGTTTTATTAAGAACTCAGTTGAGATTTACTGGTTGGAGAGATAACTACGAGTTGTGACGATGGAACAGGGATCAAAGATCTTGTTATGACTCCAACTGCCCCGCCACCCTAATTTCGCCCTTCAGGGAAGAGTGAGGACGAGGCTGAGGCTGCCTACAGGGGATTTATGGCAATCTGACTCTCTGACTGTCCGGTTGGTTGGGCTGTAGGGAGTGGAGGGAACACACATGCCCTCAAATTATCAGTTGAAATGAGGCAATGCACCTTAATATTATTTAAACGAACAGGAAAATAGAGTATTTGCAGAATTAGGACCGGTCTGAATTCTCACATAACCTGGAATCCACGGAGGCCATCCGAATGCCTCTGACGTAGATTCGGTTGGAAAATGGAAACATACACTTCAACAACAGCGAATAATATTTGGGGACTCGCTGATTTGAGATTAAGTTGCCACTTAGATGGACCCTTACCCCAAAGCTATCAGAATGGTGCAGCCAACAGATTTGTCTGTGAGGGGGAAGCAGAGGAAATGCATTGGGTCATTTGAAATTAAATCCCTTGCAGCTGACCCATGAGAGGTGCTGATGGCTTCCAGATGGGGTTTTGTCCAGTTCCCATTGGCCAGATGTCTGGGTCTGTCCGGCAGGATTGTTTTGTATGTCGAGTTGGGGAACCATGGAAATAGCATCAAGATTGACCAAAGTTTTACCCTTGACATAAGAGCATTCCACTCAGAGGTGTGGTCTATAGCTTGAAGCTTATTCAGTGCACTGACTGGCTTCAAACTCTGGCTCTATCTCATCAGAGCTCTGTGCCTTTGGACAAATTATTTAAACTCTGAGGATTAGTTACCTCATCTGTAAGACGGAGGTAATGAGAACACTGCTTCACAGCAGCATTGTGAGGAGCACAAAGATGATCTATGTTACGAGCTGACTCAGTAGGACTTAAGAAATGCTAGCCATTTCTAATTATGAATATCATCATCATCTTTCTACAAACATTGATTGAGCACCTTTTATGTACCCATAACCGCATTAGGTGCTAAACATACAAAAATGCGTAGAGCGTCATTTTGACCTTCTGGTTTGTTAGTCAATTATGGAAGACAGGTGAATAAAAAAAGTAATTGTCCAAAGCAAGCGAGTGCTGATAGGAATCCAAACACAGTGCTGCAGGAGAGGGGAGAGGAACGGGACCATTTATGCACACCCACCATTGCCATTCCCTGCCATCATACTAGACAATGCCATCTCATTAGGTTTAATGCAGCCCCATAAGACAGCCAAGATTTCCCCCACTTAACAGGGAAGAAACAGGCAAAAGTAATTTACTCACATTCACATAGCTGGTAAATGGCAAAGTTTTGTTTGTCTTACTTTGTCCCCTCTCTGCTCCACAAGGCTGCCTTCTGAGTACCAAGAATGCCCGGATGACAGGAAGTGACAAAGAAGGGTCAGAAAATGTTTCATAAGCGAAGTGAAAATTTTTATTCTTGATGAATAGATGAGTTGTCTAAATGGGTAAAGGGCAGAAAAACACAAAGCAGTGGGAATAATATGTTTAAAAGTATGCAAGTATGAAATAGCAAC